TGTGTGTGTGTGTGGGGGGGTCATGTATAATTGTGTTATCCTCAAGGGGGGCCAACAAAATTTTGGCATCTAATTTTTCATTTCCACCAGCCCCCATCCCCTGTAATTAATGAAAGGTCCCTTAGCTAGGTAACCATAGTACAAACTTTGTAAGTTCTTTATTGAGTGCATCGTAATGGCTCACAATTGTGATGAATATTATAACGACTGTATCTTATAAATTATTAACATAATAAACAAAATCCCAACACTGACCTCTTTAATTACTCTTTAACTCGAAACCCCCGCTAACACGAAAAAATTTCATAAAAATGTTTTGCTTCCCTTGTGATTTCAAATTAGGGCCGGGTTCTACCATTTAAATGAATATGACTGGAATGCTACCTCCGACCGGAAATGGAAGCCAACTTGACGGCCAGTCCCAGTCTTTTCAGGCATGCGAAGAGTGCTCAATCAGTCAGAGAGTTTTAGAATGACGTTTACGTCAAACGTCAAACCGCTAACGAAGTTTTTGATTTTGCAACTCTATTTTGACAGCTTTTACACCAGTTTTGAAATATATTAAACAATTATTAAACTTGTGGTATTTTACAATGATTTAAGAAATCAAATGAACCACTAGCCACGTATTCACCAAAGCAGCAAATGAAGATTAAGCGTTTGAAGTTTACATTTGGCGCATAAATTTTATGCTTGAACTGTTACGAGGGCTTGTAGTCGTTAAAGCATGAAATTTATACGCCAAACGTAAACTCTTCAAACGCTAAATTTTAATATACTGCTTTGGTGAATACGTGAATTTGTTTTCTTGAATCATTGTTAAATACCACAAGTTTAATAATTGTTTAATATATTTCAAAACTGGTGTAAAAGCTGTTATAATAGAATAAAAACTTCGTTAGCGGTTTTCCGTAAACGTCATTCTAAAACTTTCTAATGATGATATAAACACGCGTAATCTTACCTCCAGACACGCGCGTCTGGAGGTAAAATTTGGCTTCAAGAAAAATATGGGCAATTTATCTGAAGATAGCGTTCCAGTTTTATTCATTTCAATGGGTTCTACTGTATTTGACAATGCAGTACAGTGCTTTGTGCGCATGCGTATATCGGAGACCGTAGCTTCTGGCGCAAATAATTTCACTAGTATACAAATTAATAGTGAATGTTAATGAATGCAATGGTAAAACTATTTTCATGAGGTAAAAGTTGAATTACCATTCCACGGCTGAGCGTGCAATATGGGAATTTTAATTCCATATCACTTGATCATAGTCAGCCAATTAAATTACCAGAATTTAATGAGATGTTATATAATTTCTAAAACTCTATTCATCATAACAAGAGTTACATTGTTGTCTATTATATATCCTCCTTTTATATGAAACTTCACAGTTTAATTGTATTACACCTCTATAAATTAATTGTACTACACCACTATAAATACTATTATTACATAAATTAAAGGCTCTTCCCACTCATCGCAAAAACCAACTCGTAAAGGTCGCTGAAAGTGGTTGAAAGCGGTCGCTTAAAATAAACTTTCAAACATTGCCATTGGTTGAAAGCATTCGCATTCAGCGTTCTTGTGATTTGACCGTTGCGAAAAAGGGAAAAGAGGCTTAATACATTTGTATTTAATTCTGCAATAAGAAGCTTAAGACTGAGAACTCAACAACAAATATGCTTGAAATAATTTCTGAAACCCTTCTAACTTTTACTAAGGGGCTGTTTATATGCATGGTCCCGCTTACCCAGGATTCAATCAAGTGTGAAGTATTTTTAGCAATTGAAATAAATCGCACTTCATGATCTATCAAAATTGCTTCTTACAAATCGTATGAAATTCCATGTTTTAGACAAAAAACAATTAGCTATAGACCGGCAGCCGAGAGCAGTTTGATCAAACGAACCAGGTTCCAACATTTCGGTACAAGAGCATCTAATATGTGGTCCAGCATGTCTAGAAATGAATACCTGCCGGGACCACGTGCTGCATGTGGCCATGGGACACCTGGGAATAACAGCACGCAATGGGCTAGGTCAAACGTTCGAGATACCAAATGGAACCAACAGTTGTGTTCTGCTTATTACTTAATTTATTCTGTTGATTGTATAATGTTGAATGCTATTAATCGTCTTCTCCCACTACACAACTTCTAGCGCGTTTCTAATCTCGGTTCAGCAATTGAAAGTTATCTAACTTTTGTTTAGGGCTGAAAATGTATTTCAGTTGCTCAAAATAATTCACACTTCATTGAATCTCGCTTAAAAGGATCGTATAAACAGACCCTACAAATTCTTAAAAACTACAATAATCCATATACAATTTCTTAAAAACTCATTAATGAATAATTCATGAGGAAAATACAAAAGAAATCACTGCCGTGTCGGTGATAAAAATCAAATGATAAAAATCAAATGATGTCGGTGATAAAAATCAAAAAATATGTGATAAAAAATCATGTTCGTTTACGTACTATTTAAAACATAGCAGGAGTGCTTTATCAGATATGAAGTTTATATTATACAAATAATGAATGTTTATGCATATGAGTGCAATGGTAAGAATATTTTCATGGGGTGAAAGATGGAATGTTCCATTCAACGAGTGTTCCATTGCACTCTTGGGAAATGGAATTTTCTATTCAATATCACGTGACCATAAACATGCAGCCAATTAAACGTTTAGAATTTAATAAGGTATTATATAAAAATGAACATGATTTTTTATAACATATAAAACCACCGACACGGCAGTGATTTCCTTTGTCTTTTCTTCATGAATTTTTAATGAGTTTTTAAAATAACATTTAGCTTTTATTTTTCCAGCCAATGAACTCATCAATTGACCATTTGCGTAATAGACTAAATTTTTATCGCAACAAAAATTTCATTACAGCTTGAAAGAGCATCACAAAATTAGTAATATTCCAAAGTTTCGTTGCAAAATGTTGCAAAATGCGGAAAATATAGCCTTGCGAAATTTGCAATTTTCTGTCATTTTAGATTACAAACCGGAAATTGACAGCCTCGAAGGGTTTGGGGCTGTCAATTTCCCGTTTGTAATCTAAAATGACTGAAAATTGCAAATTTCGCAAGGCTATATTTTCCACATTTTACAACATTTTGCAACGAAACTTTGGCATATTACTAATTTTGTGATGCTCCTTCAAGCTGTGATGAAATTTTTGTTTAGACTTGTTTAGTTCAAAATTTAGTATAAGGTACTCCTGCTCGTGTTTTAAATAGTATACTTAAAGCAACCAATAAAATCCTATGAAATTGCTAATCCTTTCAAACTTCCAAATGCCCAGCCAAATTGTCCTTTTAAATCCACTGAAATCCAAAATATATTGTAGGAACTGATTTTGGAATCGAAAATCCTCATGTGGGTTATAGAGCGACACACCCCTGGCGTCAGTATCTTGTTTCCATTAGAAGTAATCGGATATAGCTTCTCACTCTACTGAATTAGTCTGATATATATTCAATCTTAAGCTCCTTATTATAATCGAAATGTTGAATGCATTAAATGAACGAATGGTAAGTCTAGAAAAATAGTCGTTCATATTATACCATTTTCTAACCTTTGTTATGCTAATTACTCAACCTTTTTACAGTTGATTTGACGAAACTTTGGCCGCTCCAATTGCGAGTTTGGTTGGGAATTTGGGAACTACAAACACGAGGTAATCAAACTGATTGGAAACCGGCCAATCAAATTCGGAACTTTCGCATCAAATTATCGAAATTCGTAATGAAATTCTGAACCAAGTTCGCAAGCAAGTTCGCAAATTGCAAACGATAAATTCTTTGGCGGTAAATTCTAAAAACTAAACTTATTGTTTTAAACGTAGTCATTTAATAATAAATAATATCATAATAATGATAATTTCAGTTTTTAAAATTATAATAAGTTTAGTACAATAAGTTTAGTTTTTAGAATTTACGTATACCGCCAAAATCGTTTGCAATTTAATTTGCGAACTTGCTTGCCAACTGGGTTCGGAATTTCATCACGAATTTCGATAATTTGGTGCGAAACTTCCGAATTTGATTGGCCGGTTTCCAATCAACTTGATGATCTCGTATTTATGGTTCCCAAATTCCCAACCAACCTCGCAATTGGAGCGGCCAAAGTTTCGTGAAATCAACTGTAAGATCAAGAACTATCTGTGAAACGTTTGGTTAACGCTAAAGTAATTCTAAAGATGCGGTGCAGTCCATTGTGTCAGCTTGGTTCACATTTTTGTACACGAATAAAAGTACAGTTTATTTATAAACGAAGTTGTGACAACTCTTTATATTTTCTTGCTTCCACAGTGAAATAAATATTCAAGGAATATCACAATCAGGCCTTGTAAGAACACACAATGTAGTTTGAATTATGATCAGTTGGCTCCAAATTACGCATGCGCAAACGAACTGCACTGCATCTTTAGGCAATAAATGTTTTCAGGACGCCATGGAAACTATATAAATCACAGATTTTGGAATTAGGGCGCCACGTATTTTACCCATTAAAGAAAAGTGTTTTTCTGCTTCATTTCAATTGTATCTGCGACGACGCAGTCCTAAAAAGCGAAAAGGAATGTATTAATATTAAGTAAATAGCCGATGTTTTTATAAAAAAATCACATGATAAGAAAAATGAAACACCAGAAAAATTTAAGAACTGCAGTTACAGTTATTTATCAAGCATCTTCGAAATATGCGATTTGAACAGTTAGGCACTGTTCATGTGGAGCCTGGCTGACCCGGTTAATCGGAATGATTTGTTCATCACGGACTGTTAATTAAGCTGTTATCATGGCTTTGATATTCTTTGATAAACAAAATGACATTTCAAAGTTGAGTTAGTTTAGTTTGATTCCAGTAACAGTATAAAGTTTATTCAAACTGTTAGTGTCAGGAAACATTTTCTTGACACGATTTATGCATCACTCATTTGACTCACTGTTCATGAACAGCACGTAGGGGGCTAATTATAATTCCTTGGAACAGAGTGCAAAGCCAGATGAAGTGATGTATTGAAATAACTCACTAGGTTCGAAACAAGGCTTGGTATTAGAAGATATGAAGGGAAATCAAGTATGGTTAGCGTTTCTTACCGTAACATCATCATTTGACATTGATTTTGAATAACCTTCGATGCCATCATAAGAGTAGAGATCATAGTCCAACGCTAAGTTGTTTCCGCCATTTTCCATATTATAACTGTTATTTCCAAGCGACTTTGACTTACGTCTCGTTAAAATAACCTTAATGATAAGAAAAGCAAATTAATTAATAATCAATTGATAATTTAATGATCTTATAATTAATTAACATTCAATGATATTCCATTGGTAAGTCAAATTAAATTAATAGTTACGTTGACGTTCTTACACAGGGGGAGATGCTGCAGGCATTGATCCCGGAACTGGAGAACGACACAACACAACACAACGCAACGTAACGCGACGCAACGCAACGCAACACAACGCAACGCAAAACAACACACCACAACAACGGGTAACTAGGTAACAGTAGTTCTAATTTTCGTCTAATTTAAATCTAAATTTCGCCATTACCACTAGTTGCATCGCGTTTTTGTATGGGCTATTTGAAAAAGTGAAAAAGCCCCTTCTTCCAAAAAGTAGTCAAATAATAAATGTATCGAATGCAGAATTTTTCATGTTAAATAGACATTATACATTTATACATAATGGCGTCAATAGGTGTGATCTGCGCACTTTATTCTGATCTTGGTCACGGCTGGAAAACTATCCAACAAACAGCATTGGCTACTGTCGAAGGTGAGTTTGTTGCTGTTCGTTGTCTTCTTTTAGAGGCAATTCAAGCCAAACTCAGCCAAAGGCCTAGTTCTTTTCAAAACTCTTGCAGGGGCCTTCTGACGTGTGAGAGTCAATAGACATCTTAAGATTAATTGACATCTTTTTCACAAACGTCTAACCGCTAACCGCTAGAAACCACTTGACCAGGAGCTTGCCGTCACGTTTGCCGTAAATCGCTCACGTTTTAAACCTCAAGAGTGCATTCTACAGGTAAGTGATTTACCTCAGCATTTTATTCAACTGTTATTACTTCATTGCACGTATATGACATATATTAAGACAAATATACATCTTATCTTTCATTTGGATGGATAAAAGTTGTTTTTAACGGGAAATTTTTCATATTCTGAGTGCTTTTAACCGAACCATGTATAAATTCGATATATAGACAACATGGCGCCCGATCGACTCTCTAATTTATTTGGGTTAATTAAACAAACGTGAAATTTCGATTGTCAGTTTAATGTTTGTGGCCGATTTTGGTATGATAGATTTCTTAATTTGAGATTTGTTTATTTTAAGTCGTGTTTTGAATCGTTTTAAATAATAAACGTTTGCATTTGAACATTCACGATAAAGCAAGTTCAAAATCATTGATGACTTTTTCACAGTCCGTGTTTAAATATACTTGCATATTTCTTACTTACATTTCTTACTTCAATTCATTTTAACAAATTGGTAGTGACATTTGTTTTTTTTTTGACAGGATGGCACTGACAATTCAAATGGATCCCATAGTTTCGACGGAAAAAAATTGAACGCGAAGAAAAACGTCAATATTAATTTCATATTTGCAAGTACGGCAAACGTGAAACCGCTAACGGCAAACCGCGGTTTGCGGTTAGGCGTAAATAAAATAAACGTCAATCTTAATTAAGGTGTCTAGTGACATGAAAATAACGGCAATAGTCCGCTGTCGTCGATTATGACTGTATGGTAAAATTGAAGTTTCCTGTCTCCGAAAACCTCTCGTTGATTTCAGGACGAAGAAAGAAATCCACAAGCCGACGCGGAAGGTGGGGTAAATCATTGGCAAAACTTCCTCAGTTCACCCACAAAAGGTTGGAGAATAAGCGGGTAAAGAACAGCCGTACAATGCCAGATAAATATCCAGAAATACAACACGTAAAACTGCCATCATCTCCATTCCCTTTACTCGAACTGGTCGATGAAAGCGGACATTTGCCGTTACTTTCAGGGCTGTCAAACCTCTAAAGGCCCGTACAAGAGTTCTGAAAAGAAATAGGGTCTTCATTGACTTCAACAAGAAGTAACGTGAATTGAAGTGACGTGATGCGCGCTGCGCGCGAGCAGCGAGTCAAATCGCTCCGTATAAAATTATCATTTCTTTTACCTCATTTCTTCGTCTTTGTGGGGTAATTTTTTATAAAATTGTGGAGAACGTTAAGTTGATTTGGTGCAATATTTAATATTCGCTTTGTATTTTGGTGGACTACTTGTCAAATCGCAAGAAATTTCAGTTGGTTTTAAAGCTAGCGAAGTTGGACGGTTGATTCTGACGTGCGCATACCCTTGCGTGACTCAAAGAACAACTACGAACCGTGTTCGATTCGAGCACGTGCGGAATAACCGTCATCGATTAGAACA